GGCACAGGAACAGGAGGTTTTGGACCAGGTGGTGCCGGCACAGGACTGGGAATAAGAAAACCACCCAAATCAGGTATAATGATCATAAATTTTACCACTTACAAAGAGCATTTAACAATATATTATGTTATAAGAAATATTTAAGTTGTAAATTCCTTATTACAGGCTATGGATCCTCTTCACTCGGTGGAGCTGGCTTTGGACCAGGTAAGAAACTTCTTTTTCACTCAAATGCCTTGAAAATATGCATGCCAGTATAAAATGTATTCCTAAAGACCACTGGTTGCTTCAGGTGCTGGAGTTGGACCTGGTGGAACAGGTACTGGACCAGGCAGATATGGGCCTGGTGGCTTCGGACCAGGTGGTGCTGGCATAGGAACGGGAGGCTTTGGACCAGGTGGCACTGGCACAGGAACAGGTGGCTTTGGACCAGGTGGTGCCGGCACAGGAACAGGTGGCTTCGGACCAGGTGGCGCCGGCACAGGAACAGGTGGCTTCGGACCAGGTGGTGCCGGCACAGGAACAGGTGGCTTCGGACCAGGTGGCACCGGCACAGGTACAGGTGGCTTCGGACCAGGTGGCGCCGGCACAGGAACAGGTGGCTTCGGACCAGGTGGTGCTGGTACAGGAACAGGAGGGTTCGGACCAGGCGGTGCTGGGACAGGAACAGGATTTGGACCAGGTGGTGCTGGGACAGGAACAGGATTTGGACCAGGAAGTCAAGTACTAGGAAAAAGAAAACCTTCTAAATCTGGTACATAACGATCATGAAACAATAAATAGAATGAATAGACACATGTTCAATGCACCCGTGGAGACAACTATTTGATGCATTATAGCATCATGTCATACATATCATGTATGTTTATGTTTTCATCATGTCTTTGCAGGTTATGGAGGTGCTGGTTATGGATCAGGTGAGTTCTGGGTTAGTATTAGTGTTAACTACATTTTTAAACAGTTATACATCTGTTTTAATATCTTTACATCTGTTCTCCTTCAGGAAGCTTAGGAGGAGGTGCAGGAACCAGCCCTGGTGGAGTTGGAGCTAGACCTGGTGGCTTCGGTCCAGGAGGTGCTGGAACTGGTGGATTCGGTCCAGGAGGAGCTGGAACTGGTGGNAACCCATCAAAGTCTATTTTTGGAGAATTTTTCCCTTAAAAGACCAATCTGTCAAAATTTACACAGTCTGATGCCACTCATTATGTTTCAGAATAGGTAATGCCTTTAAGGTGTAAAAAGAAACATGACTGATGGTTTGTAGATCACATACCAGACTCCTTTCTGTGTAAGGGCAGCTTAAATGTAATAGATTTGGTGGTCCTTGACTTTGACCTTGGTTTCAATTTTAGCTCTAAACAGAAAACAGCTCTGGTGATTGTCTTGGCTCTGTCTGCAGGTGTCCCCCGAGGTGACACACCAGGTGAAGGTGATGGAGAAGGAGGTCCTGATGGAGAGAGAGGTGGCACAGGAGGCACAGGTGGAGGACCAGGAGGAGTAGGAGGGGGCCCTACAAGTGCAGGAACAGCAGGAGGTGTTTCGGGTGGTGCAACAGGAGTGGGAAGAGGAGACAGCCCTGCTACTGGAACTGGACTTGGAGGTGCAGCTGGTGGAGTAGGAGGAACACCAAAACCACCCAGAGGTGCTAGTTTTGTCATCTCACTGTACACTTAATGTTAACTGTAATGAGCGGGGATTTTTTGGTGCTTTGTAGCAGTTGTTTATATGTGTGTGTAAGTATCTAATTGTTTGTTTTGTAAATGTACTACATGGACCAGATGGGACTGTAGCAGGAGGTGTAAGTGGAGGACCTGGTGGAGCCAGTGGAGTTGCAGGAGGAGTTGGGTCAGCTGGAGGAGGTCCTGGAGGAGTAGGACGAGGTCCTGGAGGAGCAGGCCTGGTACCTGGGGCTGGTGGAGTAGGAACAGGAGTCACAAAACCTAGAAAAAGTAAGCTGATGTCATGTTTTGGTCTCTGAAAAGTTATACAAGCTTATGGTATGACTTTGATATAAAGATTTCTACATCATACTTTTCTCATTTTATCCATTTTAGGCTATGGTGCTTTTGGAGCTGGAGTTTTACCAGGTGGAGGTATGCTGACCAACACTAGCCTTAACATCCAAGTTACAACAAACAGATGACTGAAAGAACTTATAATCAAGCTATACACTTTTTTCATTCTCAGGCATACGTTACCCAACAGGAGCTGGAGTAGGACAAGGAACAGGAAAAGCAGGCAAAGGTTCTACTGTCAAATTATGCTCCTTTCTTTCATTAAACTTACTTTGACGTCAGGAATGAAAGTCGTTCCATGATACATTAAGTGTTTTTATCTCTCTATTAGCATATGGAACTCTCGGAGCAGGAGGCCGGGGTGGGATTGGGCCTGGCGGTTATGGAGCTGGTCCTGGTGGCTTTGGTACTGGTCCGGGAGGTTATGGTGTGGGACCCGGAGGTTACGGGGCTGGCCCAGGTGGATATGGTGCTGGACCTGGTGGATATGGAGCTGGACCTGGAGGATACGGAGGCACAGCTGGAAGCAGAGGCATCGGTGGTGGTCCTGGGGGTGCTGGGACTCTTGGAGTTGGAACTGGTCCAGGAGGTGTAGGTGGTGTGGGAGGTGGAGTAGGAGCAGGTCCTGGTGGAGTTGGTGGTGGACTGGGCGGATATGGTGGTGGTGTGGGGCCTGATGGTAAGTTGACCTCTCTAAAGAACTTGTGTCAGTCACATATAATGAAACTTTTTGATTTTGATTGAAAAGAAGCATGTGTCATTTAAATATCTATTTGTCTTACGGATTATTTTCTATGCTCTGTTAACCAGGTTCTAGATATGGTACAGGTCAAGGACGAGGCACTGGTATTGCCAAACCACCAAAAAGTATGATGAGAATAGACACATATTCAGAGTAAATAAATATATGAGCATTTATAGAGACAACTAAAACAAAACAACCTTTGTTTTTAGGTTATGGAGCATCAGCTGGTGGTACTGGTGCTGGGCCTGGAGGCTATGGCACTGGACCAGGTGGATATGGGCCCAGTGCTGCTGGGACAGGACTGGGTGGTGCTGGAACTAGACCTGGTGGCTTTGGACCAGGTGGTGCTGGCACAGGAACAGGAGGCTTCGGACCAGGTGGTGCTGG